TCCTAGAGAAATAGCTTTGAGATTTGAGTTTTTCCTCGAGACATATCATGGCTTGCAAACAAGCGAAGCATGGCAGTTGTTCAGTGTTTCGGATGTACAAATGAACACAAAAGTATTTTTTAGTTCCTTCATCCGCGCCTCTGAAGAAACAATGGGTTAATTTTATTTTCTCTGGAAATGCGCCAACTCAACTCCCAAAGTTTTGTATGGTCCAAACAGGCAGGAGACAGGTAAGTTAATCTTTCTCTCAAAATCGTTTGATACTGTTTATGCATCAGTACAAGCCAGTGACTAAAATATCAACTTCACATCGTTTCTTTAAGTAGGATGAAAATAATCTTATTTAAAGAAAGTGTTTAGCAGGATTGATACTCTAAACGGTAAGCACGTGCTGCTTTTTACGTTATGTGCATCTGCAGCCGGCAGCATCGGTTTTCTATTTTGAATGACGAATATAGACTAATACATCTGCAGAAATAGACAGTTGGCTTATTAAACGCAGGCGCAGAACGCACATTCTAGCTGACAGTCGGCTGCAGTTCAAGTGCAGCTTTTTACCTCGAAGAGAGCGGACGAGTACCGGGCTTTAGAGAGAACAGAAACTGCTTTACACTGCACAACGAAGCTCTTACTGTATGTACATCATCGTGACTGCATTGGTGAAAGCAGAGAGAGCAGAAACTGTGTTACAATAAGATCTTCATTTTCGCGATCGACAGACTGTCATCTGCTGCTCAATGCTCATCACAGCAACATTTTATGTGATGAGAATCTAAATACATCAAAAACTTCTCACGATTCAGTAATCTCGATATCTGTAATAGTAAAAACGTATAATAGCTGTAGTAAAAGTATTCAAGAGAGTCACATGTAATATGTAGCTATTTCATATGCAAGTATGTCAGCCAATCACAGCAGTGGGTGGTTACATTGAATCCCACTGCAGACACGCCCCTTCAAACAGAGCATTCTAAGCAGAGGCTAAAATCAGGCTATAAATGCCTGTTATTTCTAAATTATGACTATTTTTATTTAAAAAACGTCTCGGTTATGGATGTAACCCTCGTTCCCTAGGTAGGGAACGGAGACGTTACGTCAGGAGTGACGGAGAATGGGGGTTTTGCATAGAAAGCCAATCCTCTTCGACTATTTAATAACGAGCCAATGGCATGAAAATGCCTTGGGGCTGCGGAATTTGCATAGCGTACTCCGCCCCACCCCGTGGGTATAAAAGAAGGAAGTGAACGCAACCGCAGTATGTCTTCGCTGAGGAGCCAAGACTGAACTCGGCGTCTACCCAGTGGTACAGCAGAAGTGGCAAGGAGACGTAACGTCTCCGTTCCCTACTCAGGGAACGAGGGTTACATCCGTAACCGAGACGTTCCCTTTCGTAGTCACTCCGAGTTACGTCAGGAGTGACGGAGAATGGGGGTCTGTGCCATCACGCCATCTTCAAGCTGTCTTCCAGTGCCCTGCGAAAGTCTGGACTCCTGAACTTACCTTATAACCAGGAGTTCCTACTTTAACACAGGAATACCAAGGTACACTGGGAAGCATATCCCGGGAGGGACATGCAACCAGATGCCTACCGTATGGAGGACTTAAGAATACACATATTGCCGTGTTAGGGACTACATACTGTATGGAGATCACTGGAGCACCAACCAACGGTTGGCTAAAAACTTAGCTCCAGGTGTGGCAGATGGCTTGCCAAGGGAAGACACATGCTCAGAGAGGCTTACAGTGGATAATACACATGTGACAGTTACCGGAGGGAACCGTGCACACGGAGGCACCTAGCCAGCACCAGAGCAATCGCAGTGGTGCCCGCATCATGAGTGCTGGAGGACTCAGGGCTTCAACGGAAGACTCAACTGAGGAATATCGCACTTATCCAGTCCGAGGAGTGGAATGGCGAGCAAGCGAAGACACCTAAGCGGGTCCAGTACTGGCAGAAGCGAGTACGCGAGAGGACACCGGCTCAGTTCGCAGATTAAGAATCTTGCGAAGGTGTTTGGTGTCGCCCAGCCTGCAGCTCTGCAGATTTCTGTTAGCGAGGCGCCATGCGCAAAAGCCCAAGAGGCAGCCACACTCCGAGTGGAGTGGGCCGTCACACCAAGGGGGCACGGTCGACCTTGCTGTAGGTAAGCCAAAGCAATGGCGTCAGCCGTTGCTTTGAGAGAGCCCTTCCCCTTCTGGAGAAAAAGAGCCTTTCCCCCCATAACAGAAAAAGAGCTTGTCTGAGGTCCTGAAACACCGCAATCTGTCAACGTAGGCGCGGAGCGCATGTACCTAACAGAGCAGTGCGAAGGCTGGGTCTGCCTCCTCCAGGGGCAGCGCTTGCAGGTTCACCACCTGGTCCCGGAAGGGAGTGGTAGGAACCTTGGTGCTTCCCCATAGACTTACCTTTCACTGCATCATGAGACGCGGCAATGGCCGCGACGTAACCTTAAGGGTGGAGGGCGACAGCCTACGCTCCAACCCTTCTTGCAGGAAGGAAAGCACGACACCGATCGAACATCTCCGGGGGTCTTCTCAGCGGGAAGAGCACCAGTTAACGAAGAGGTTCCACTTCGACGCGTAGAGGTGTCTCGTGGACGACGCTCTAGCGGAAGTGATGGTTGCCGCCACCGCAGGTGGCAGCGAACTCAAACCTGCCTCATACCGTCCAGGAGCCACAGGTGTAGGCTCCAGGGCTCGGGACGAGGGTGCCACAGGATGCCCCGTCTCTGAGAGTGTCCTCAGAGGAAAGGCCAAGGAGGTGCTGTCGCGAGGAGCATCAGTTCGGAGAACCACGTCTTGGTGGGCCAGTAAGGGGCTACCAACAAGACCTGCTCCTCGTCCTCCTTGATCTTGCACAACACCCGTGCAAGAAGGCTCACTGGGGGAAACGCATACTTGCGTGGGCCCCGCGGCCAGCTGTGCGCCAGTGCATCTGTGCCGAGCGTGCCCTCGGACAGGGAATAAAACTGGGCGCAGTGGGATGAGTCCCGGGAGGCGAACAGATCTATCTGTGCCTCCCCGAACTGGTCCCAAATCAGCTGGACCGTCTGGGGATGGAGTCACCATTCGCTAGAGACTGGGCGGTCCCGTGACAGCTCGTCGGCCGCCAGGTTCCGGTCTCCTGGAATGTACACTGCACGAAGGGACCTCAGGTGCTTCTGACTCCATAGCAGGAGGTGGCGGGCGAGCTGCGACAACCGACGTGAGCGTAGACCACCCTGGTGGTTGATGTACGCTACTGTAGCGGTATTGTCTGAACGGACAAGTATGTGTTGACCCCTGAGCAGTGCTCGAAAGCGGTGCAGGGCCAGGCGTACTGCCAGCAGCTCGAGGCAATTGATGTGCATGAGGCGCTGGGGTCCTGCCCAGGAACCCGCGGCTGCATGCCCATTGCACATGGCACCCCAACCCGTGGTAGATGCATCCGTGGAGACAACGAGATGCCTGGAAACTCGCTGAAGAGGGCACCGGCCCGTAAAAAGCTGAGGTTCGACCACGGGAAGAAGGTTTGGCGGCACGCTGGAGTCACTGGAACTCAGAGCGAGCCGCGATGCCATGCCCACCTCGGGACTCGATCGCGAAGCCACAGCTGAAGCGGTCTCATATGAAGCAATCCGAGCGGCGTTACCGCGGCTGCGGATGCCATATGCCCCAGGAGCCTCTGAAAAAGTTTCAGTGGGACAGTACTCTAGACCAGCAGTGAGTGCGCGCGCTCGTTCATGAGCTGCGCGGATATGGCGACCGAGTCTATCCCCATGCCGAGAAAAGAGATCCTCTGCACGGGGCAAAGTTTGCTCTTCTCCCGGTTGACCCGAAGGCCCAAGACGGGCTAGGTGCCGGAGCACCAGGTCTCTGTGTTCGCAAACCTGTTCTCGAGAGTGTGCCAGTATCAGCCAATCGTCGAGATAGTTCAGGATGCGAACCCCGTGTTCGCGTAGGGGAACAAGGGTTGCCTCGACGATCTTCGTGAAGACGCGAGGGGACAGAGCTAACCCGAATGGGAGAAACGTGTACTGATATGCCTGGCCTTCGAAAGCAAACCGAAGAAACGGAAGGACCAGCGTTCCACGGGGGTCTGTTCTGCCGGGGGTCTGTTCTGCCGGGGGTCTGGCGATAGAGGGGGAGGGGAGTGGCATAGTCGAGGGACGACACACGCTCCCTTCCGCACCCTCAGAGACAGAGAGGAATGAGAGGGTCGACGCCCCAGGACGTCGAGCGCACTCATTCCTGTCTGTGTGCTCAGTGATAGTGTCAAGTCCTTCTCAACCAACTCAGGCCGCTGCCCACTCGTGGGTGAACAGCGGGGAGCTGGGAACAAAAGATTCTCTGCCGGCCCTCCACCGGGGGAAGGAGGGGCCCTGCTACCTGCCTCCTGTGAAAAACCATGACACTATCACTGAGCAGCCGGCCTCAGGGACGCCGTTTCATAATTAAAGTACAGTTAAAGGTACGTACATTACAATTATAAAATTGAAACAGTAGTATACTTAAAGCGCAAAAATAATATAAAAATAGTAATAAATGTAGAAAAAGTTTGAATTTATGTATACTTAAAGAAAATGTACAAGTAAACTATCGGTATACCTATTTGTTCTCTTGTAGTATAGTAGCAATACAAAAAAAAAACTTAATTGTAAACTAGTTGACTACTGTTACGCAAAGTATGCTTAAAAAAAGTGAGCCAATTAGTCCCAAGTAGTATTGAAGCAGCACACAAGTATACTTCTAGTAGGATTATTGTCAAGTCCCCGTCGGACTTGTTTGTATTTACTACATAAAGTAGCCTATACTTAAAAATACTTGAACTTTACTAAAGTAGACATAATAAAATTAACTTGAAGTATGGGTTACTTATTTTTTGTAAGAGGGTGCAAGTCCAAGATGACTTGCCATATCGTAAATTATATTACTTCTACAATCTTGTATTAACAAAATCTGCCCAATTACAGAAGACTGAAAAAATGGGAGAAAAAAAAAAAAAACTAGCATAGACTCACCAGAGAGGTCTTGATACCAATGCTTTCAGCTGCTTGGAATGCCAGAGTGAGATTTCGTCCCTATGGGGAAAAAACAGCACTCTTTTAACCACTTGACCAGTATTAACCATCTGAATATTAATTACAGTAGTGAAAAACAGGTGTCTAAACTCAACTGAATTCTCTAGCAATGCTCTAGATCCACATACGTGGCCTTTTAGTAGCCTTGACATTTACAACACACTGGAAGAGGCTTTGTGAATAATTCAAAAGCATAATATACCATCTCTTCCTGTAATCACTATTATACTTATGGCTGCAATTTGTCACATAAGACCGTGGCACATTGCGTTTACGTGGGTGTGCGCATGGTTGAATAAACATACAGGGAGGGCAGGGCAGCCATTTACAGTATTTGTTATGCATGTTGTGTCTACACCTCTCCGAGTGTCATTTGGTTATGTATTCTGTCAACACTAATCCATAGAAGCATGTAATTCATTACATCTGGCAGGTCAGCTGAGGGAAAGTCTTGACTGTTAACACACTGTTTTATTGCTGAATGTGCCAGGCACTAAATATAAGTTGAGGATTTACTAAGACACTTAAAATAATCAATATAAGAAATACATGTGTACCTTGTCTTGGCTGATGAGCTCCTGGTAAGGGATATGTGCAGGTAGATAGGTGTGTAACAGAGCACAGAATGCCAGGCCATCACTCCAGCTGCTGCTGAAGTTTGTCACATCTATATTCTACAATGACAGAGACAGAGAAAAGTTTAAAGACACCATACAAATAGTTGTGTTGACATTTGGTCCCCAAAATGTAGCATCCCCCCCCCCCCCCACACACACACACCTATATGTGGTTTACAGGGACTCGCCATAATCACAATGGCTTTTATACTGTAAAAAAACAGAAGCGGCCTGTCCAGCAACGCTGTAACTTAAGCCTTGGCCGCGAGAGCTCTGGATGGGAGACGTGGGCAACCTCCAATCTCATCGAGGGTAGTTAGAGTAGAGGAGGCACCGGAGCAGCTTTGGGCAGAAAAAGGTGCCTTCCATGACTTCGTGACCTCCTCATGGACTTCCAGAAAGAAAGGCAACACCCACCCGAGAAACCAATCATCCAACCTTGTGCGTTTGCGGCGGCCAAGGAAAGTATGCTCGTCAGCTCTGGGTCGATGTTACTCTCCCTGAAGGGGGCAACTCAGCCGAATCTCCACCCCCGGGGGAGACTAGCCTGCCCTCCAATGCAGCAATCAACATCTGATCCTCTGGCAGAGCCCAGAATAAGATGCTGGGTTCCCCATGAGAAGGACCAGTACCTCCACCCAGAAGCTCCACAGCTTGCGTTGCGATAGAGGAGTGGGAGTCCACAGGGATTGACCTGGTGGGAGAGCCCCCACTGTAACCCTCAGATCACCCAGTGTATTAACCAAAGTAGCTCTCTGGAAAGCAGAGGGGTCTCCACCTCTTTCAAGGTACTGGATCTCAGCATCGCGATGGTCATCTTCCTGCAGTGGGTACATGACTCATCCACAAATGCTGTCTCAGCATAGTTAAGGCATAGATATGTGAAACAGTGATCGTGGTTGTCAGCCATTAACCAGTTAACGACCGCATCCAGAAACACATGGGTGGATTGGCATCTTGAAAAAGACGCAACGTCACACTAAGGCACTAAATCCATTGTCTTTTAGAGAAAGATGCTCTTTTGTACTGAAGTGCACAGGGGAAAGGTTGCCTGCACAGTGTGCAGTAATGTTCTTTTAGAGATTGCAAAGCGTGCAAAATTTTCCAGGAAGGTGACCACCGTTGATGCACCATCCATCACACCAACACGCACTTAACTTTTTCATGGTTCTCTATACCATATTGGTTTCCCGTGTCATTCATTTCACATTATTGATTATAAAAGCCCTGTGATTTTATAGCATGAGATCCAGCAGTATTATATAATTAAAATCTGATGGATTTTAAAAACTTTGTACACAAAAAAGATTTTGAACATTCAGACACACACAGACATTAACAATCAGCATATGAATCTCAACAATCTAATTGGCTTCATCACTCTGTCTCCTCTCCACCAGTAGTCTGGTGTGTGGTGGGCGTTCTGGTGCAATATGGCTGCCGTCGCATCATCCAAGTGGAAGCTGCACATTGGTGGTGGTTGAGGAGATTCAACCTTCCATATGTGAAGCGTTTTGAGGTCCCAGAAAAAGCACTATACAAATGTAACAAATTATTATTATTATTATTATTAAAATGGTGATGATAAAAAAGTGTTCATGTTGCAGTGCACAATGGGAGCCACCATAGTAGAAATCTCATCCATGGCTAGCGATGGATTATCCCATGGACCATTATCATGGTCATTTGACACATTGACAAGTGAATGAAAAAGACTGTTGGGCTGGATTTGATTTTTTCCTCCGGGAAATGATCGTATTGATTTTCATAAGATGTTAGATGTTGCTAACTATGGACACCGATCTCACTGAAGCCCTGCAGTGGCAGGAGCAGAAACTGCACAGGAGCGCCCTTTCATAGCTGGTGCTGAAGCTACACCCAAACCACCACGGGACACAATGTGGCTCAACCAAATTATAAAATTGCAACAAATTACAAAAAAAAGAAAAGAAAAAAAATTCGGAAAGATGCCACTAAATGACAAAAGATGATGGAAGATGGGATTTACCTTTAAATATCCCACCTGCTAAAAGAGATTAGCAGGTGCAAGAGCAGTGACTGTGGTTACTGTGCTCTCAAATAGTGGAAATAAAAGAACACTTCCTGGTACATTGTGCTCACAACATACAGTAGCAGTTTTTTTTTTCCACAAAATTTAAACAACTAGCACCAAATTTTAAGGCATTACAAAAGTAAGAAAAACAAAATCATATATTTTGATCACAACAGCAGCAAAATATGCAACAGCTTGCCACAAAAGAGTCAGCCAGTGGACAAAACTAAAGTCAGACATATTCATCTTGTCTAAATCTAGGTAGGTACGAATGTACAGAGATCGTACAGAGAATATGCATTTGGTTAACTTGTACACTCTTGCGTTGTAGATTGAAAAAAAAGAGGTGGGACTGTCTATATCCTTTATAGATAAGAATCTATTTCTCACAAGAGCTCCTTTAACGTTTTCATTTAAAATGGAGCTTAATTTTAATTTCTTCTCAGACCACTCATGCACATTGGGAGAAAGATCACCCATCATGTTTTTCTCAATGGCAAGGATTTCTCTTTCAAGCCGTTCCAGAGATTGTTTCAAACTAAAATTAGAGCAAGATGTATACTGCTGACAAAAATCCCTTATGTGAGCTTTACCAATTTCCCACCAAAGAATAACATTATCAAACCTTGTTTTTTCTTTTCTCCATGTCTCCCAAAAGTGCTTAAAAGAATCACAAAAGCTCTTATCTTGTAGCAACTTGACATTAAAGTGCCAGTAAACACACTATTTTTCTTAGAGTTCAAGTTACAATCAATAGTGATTAATTTGTGATCAGTGAAGGATGTGGGGACAATAGATGTATTAAAAATTCTACTTTTCATACTATTTGATAAGTACAGTCTGTCTAGTCGTGCTGCTGAAATCCTCCCGTCACTAACCTTTACCCATGTATATTGCTTAACAGAAGGATTATTTTCTCTCCATATATCAGTGAGATTAGATGTTTTAATGACATTATCAAGTAATGTAGATGACTGAAAATGAGGTTCCTCTCTATTTCTATCAAGCAAAGCATTAATTGTAGAATTCCAATCCCCAGCTAAGATAGTAAAAAAAATTACCCTTCTGCTTTCCTAAAAAAAACCTTTTAATTTATCTAAGATAATTATTCTCTCAGCTACTATGTTAGGTGCATATACACTTATAAACATAAAAACAAGACCATTTAAATCAACCTTAACTGCTAAAACTCTTCCTGGTTCAATTTCACTTTTCCAAAATTTGGCTTTTATAGAAGGCGAGAAAAGAATAGCAGTTCCTGCACTCAGATTAGTACCATGTGTGAGCGCACATTCATTCTTCCACCACAATTGCCAGTCAACCTCATTGTTTGCATCACTATGAGTCTCGTGTAAGAAAATAACATCTAATTTCTTTAGCTTGATAAAATTAATCACTGTATCAGCTTTACTCTTATCCCTCATTCCGTTGACATTTAAGGATCCCACACGTAGGGTTTCCATGAGAAAGAAGAAGATAAAACAATCAGACAGAGATGTGTATTAGCCATAACGATTAGGTATATTTTCCCCTTTTCCCTTTCCCTGTCTTAAACCTTTTCCTAATTTCAGTTATATGTTTCTTTAACCTAAAACGTTTCTGTTTTGACAACTCATCTGCAATTTTTCCTTGCCCATATTACAGATAAGATAAACTTTTCCAGATCTGGGAAAAAATCACTCACTTCTATGCTTTTTTACCTTTTGTCTCATCCAGAAAATAATTGATTTGTCCCACAGTGTACAGATCTTTTGTATCTATTTTTGACATTTCTGACCCTTCAGACCAGTGTCCATCATCTTTCATACTGTCATCTGTACACTGACATAGCCCATCTAGCTCACCCACCGAGCATTTCTCAGCCATTTCTATCGCAGTCTGTGTTACAAACTCATTTTCTTTTACTTCTACAACATCATCATTTATGACAAGCGCAGAACTACATTCAGCCTTCTCACTTCTCTCCACATCCATACCATCATCGCTTTTACTCACGTCTTTGTGCCCGTGTACCTCCTCCAACGGCCTTTTGATTGGTTTCTCAGATACTCGTTCATCCTGTGTTTTTTCCGTATTATCCTCAATATCACTGGTATCATTGTGATGCACTATATCAGTAAGATCAACAGGCAACTGCTGCTCAACATCCGCTTTTTTGGGGGGACAGGTGAAACGTTTGTGGCCTATATTTCCACATTCAAAGCACTTTAGGTTATCTGTACTTGCAGCATAGGCTATATGATCCATCTCCATGACTTACACGAAACGAGATCTCTAATGTGCGCTCTGTTTAAGTCAGAAACATTAACACCTGTCTCCTCAGCCTGGTCTCATTGTTAATACGTAGGTATTTTACGTTTTTGCAAAGATAGAAAACTTACTTTTTGGTACGTTTGGATAGATGTTGAAACGTATAATATAGACGTATCTGCAACATTTAAACGTAACATTACAGCCCATTCTCACTCCCAAGGCGTCACCTAACTGACGCCTTGGGAAGCATTTGGACATGCTTCAATATCTGACGCTTTAGGCGCCCTTTAGCGTCAGTTAGATGACGCCCTAGGGTGAACATTATTACGTTTTTACAGCTACAAAACGTAAATTATTTACGTATATTCTATATCATAAAGATATCTGTATAATTTCCCTTTTTTACCATTTTATAGATAAATGTAAGATCCCGTAACCCTAATCCTAAACCTAAACATACCCATTTTATACTTTATATAAAAAGGATAAAACGTAATGGACAGATGTGTTGGGAAAGGGCAGTTTCAATATAGCATTAAAATATATTTTGAGCCACCAATCCTACTCCTACCGCTAAACCTACCCATAACAATTCCTTAAAACTACGTAACAAACTACAATTATGAAGAAAAACATAACTAACAGACAAGTATAATCACAATAATTTATTTATTGCGAAAATGTCAAAACCGATACCAAAAGCCGTTCACATGATGAAGCGTTGCAGTCGCAGTCTTCTCTCTAGCAGTAT